TCTATTTGTGTGCATGACGCATGTATTAGAGAACGGGAAGAAGAAATGATTTTTCAATTTATGATAGAGAGAAAATCCATTTATCATTTTTATATTTTTAAAAAAGTAGAATAATAATAAATTTATTCATTTTCATCATGTTCTAGGTAACTATAGATGGTGGATGATCGAGATGAATGATCAATGAAACAAAAAAAGATAACACAGATCGGTTTATTATTTTTCAGAAAATTTTTCTTTCCACAGACTCCTATTTCAATCTCTATGATATCAATCTATTTGATATATATTCAGCTAAGAAAAAAGTAAATATTCAAAACTAACGATCAAATAATGAAAAATCTAGTATTAGAAAATGATGTCATAATATCTTCATGTTATGTACAATGTTTAAATACTTAATTGTAAATATATATTTTTCTAAAGCTCAGAATCTTGTCAGATAAACGTAAAACAGAAACTATTTTAACAATCAATATGCTATTAAATTCGGTCTAAATTATTTAATAAAAAAAATTTTTAATTATTTTACTCATCGCACTCTCAAGAGTTTTATTCTCTTAATGATCTTATCTCGAGATGATGTCGATTACATTCTAAACATATTTATATACTATTTTTAGACAAAATTGACAGGTGTTATGTTATTCATGAGTTTAAATGCGCCGGAATTACATTGGGAATATTGATTTTCATCTTTTTAAACTATTTACTTGTAAATTTACAATAATTATAATAAAAATAGCACATATATTTAAGATATATAGATCTCGCATGACGTTTCAAAGATAAGGGGCTATATTTTCCAATTTTGTCTTCCGTGTTTCATATTTATGTATGATAATTAAATTTATATTTTTTAGATAGTCTTCATCCTGATGATAAAGAATATTAATACATAATTTAAACGCAAATGAATGAAGTCTATTTAGGGCATTTCAATATTCACTTGTGCATCTTTTAAAAACGAAGAATGTGTCTAAATTGCCTCTGGATACATATCCATATTACAATTATTTTTCTTTTTGTCAGTTTTAATACGACATATTGGTTATTATCTATTTTTGTTAGAGCTATATGAACTATAACTCTAATTTAATCAAATAGACCTAGAAATGAATAGCTCAGCAGCTTTTCACACTACACTCACGAAGAACGGTTTCCAAGTATCGGATCGCTTTGTGAGTGAAACATATGTAGATATATGGAATTGATGATGCTGATTCCGAGTATCATGATGAAGATGTTGTATGAGCTTTTGAAGTCCAGTTTCTTAGAAAAGCTGATCTCTAGATTTTGAAATCTTTTTTGGTCAATAATTCATAGCAGTTTGTAAAGTACGTCAAATTACTTGTAAAAAGAAAATTTTCATTACTATTGAATAAGTTTTAGCGGAGTTACATGCAATTCGGTTTAAGAAATATGTGAAATTCTAATGATGCTAGAAAAATGACGAGTTTCGGAGATATGAGAAAACAAATGATTGAAATAGAACAAAAATATCTTCGCAAGAGACACTGCGATATTCGATGTTTTAGAACTAGTTTGTATCGATTTTCACTTTTTTTTCGGAAATCTTTTATCGAAATCCAATCTTACACATTATACTGATGTTTCAAACTTAAAACCCTATAACTCGACTAAAACTTATTCAATAGTAATGAAAATTTTCTTTTTACAAGTAATTTGACGTACTTTAGAAACTGGTATGAATGCTTGACCAAAAAAGGTTTCAAATATGGAGATCCGCTTTTCTAAAAACTGGACTTCAAAAGCCCATACACCATCTTCATCATGATATTCGGAATAAGCATCATCGATTACATATATCTATAAATGTTTTATTTACAAAACGATCGGACACTTGGGAATTTTCCCTCGTCAGTTCTTTTCATCAATAAACAAATCTAAACTAAATTTTACATTGTTTCAAATGCTTTGAGATGCAAAATAACGATAACTTTTTGTTATCTTTTTTTCTGATAATATCCTAATTTGACATTTTCCTGAATTCGTTTAAATATTGATTACTATCGAAATATATAAAACTAAACGAATTGACAACTGTGTCTACATATATGTATGTATATAGCTAAATATATTTAATTAGATGCTGTTCACTCTTTCTATTTCTTTTGTTCCAACTTGTACTCTAACACAAATTACTGAACGACATTTTATTATATTCAAACTAACAACAAAATATCTTTGACCGCTTTTTTTTTCTTTTCTCTTTTTAGGACGACATAAATCTGGAAGAAGGACACAGTTGACTAGTGCTATGATGACAGTCTTTTTTCTTTTTCTAGTTCAACGAGAAGAAGAAGAAAAAAACGATAGCTACATACAGACTATTTTTTTTATGAACGCAAATTTTTTTTTTTCACACAAAGACAGACTTTTTTTTTTTTTTTTTTGTTGCTATTCTAGAGGATCATATTGATCAAGGATGGACGGAGACGCGCAAGAGAAAAAATATCAAGAAAGAAAGATAGTGAATAGAGAAAACTAAACTAATAGTACATAGAATATCAAGTTAAACATCAAAAACGTTAGAATCGATACTTTTTTTCTCTCTTGAACGATAATAAATTACTATTTTGAAATTGTCTTGATACAGATCAGTCGTCGACAATCATTTTTCTTTTATTGACACCCAAAGTCACTATTGATTATCTATACAAATAGTAATTATCATAAAAGTTATTTGATACATAAAGGTAAAGGAAAAAAACGTTTTTATTTTTATTTCTTTTCACTTGATTATCTCACTAAATTAGTATGGTTCACATGGTGCCAAATACATCTGTTACAGATGGTTATTAAGAGTAAACAAATGATATTTTAATGAAAATTTAAACGATTATTATTGCTTCATCGAATAATATAGAGTAGAAACACATTGAATCAATGAATAAATTTTTTATTGATGTTTCAGTCACACATTATTTGTGATTTTTCACTTTTTTTTGAAGTTGGAAAGTTTGTTTAAAGAACTATGCCGTTCTACAAATGTCTATTAATTGAAAGACAATCTTTCGAACAATATGAAGAGAAAATTGAACATGTGAGGTGACTATTTTTCGTCATGAATCGTTGTTTATTTTATTCTTCATCTTCAATATTTTGATATTTTTAGTTCCTTCCGACACGTCTCTAGTTCTAATATGAATAATATTCTATTTTCTGAGTTAGTAAATAAGTTAATATTTGATTCTACAGTCCTTTGTGATTATGAATTTTTTTATTATAATAGAAAAAAGAGAATAGGATGTACAGAACACAAACGTTCAACTTTTTTTCTGTTGTTTGCAGTAACAACAATAGTTAGATAGATGATCTTTATATGAAAAGCTCTTGTACGAGTGTACGGATGGCACTTGTAAGAGAAAAGACAGAAAAAAGAAAGAAATTATTGGAGAATCGAAGTCTTGCATATACGGAGAAGATTTCTATAGAATATAATAAATCTTCAATACAAATATTTTGTACGATAATTGAAAAGATGAAAGATGTTGCTGTAGAGATATGTTTTTTTTCTGTTTGAATTTAAAGCTATTTCTTTTCATTTATATGAGCGTGACGATCAATATTTCATGTTACACAATGTTTTAGACGAGAGTCACGTGTATTAATCATGTAGTTATATTTAATTTAGATTTCGAAAATTTCATTACTAGAAACAGAAACTTTCTTTCTACTTTTATTCATACCATATATTTTTCTAAAGTCTTTGTACGTTTTTGTACTAACAGAGCGACATATGGTCAAACGATTTGTAAAGATATAAAATCGGAAGATCGGAGATAATATTGTATAGTTTGAGTATAGAGGCGTCTACGAGGGCGTTTTGGTAAGATAAATTCTCAAGTGTATAAGTGAAAAAAGATTCTTATTCTTTATTTAACATAATAAAACGATTCCCTATTTGATGTCGTTTCATGTTCAATAGAAAAACTTGAGAATCTTTTCCGGATAGGGATATGAAACAGATTTTGGACAATCGATTCACATGATCACAATATGAAGTAGTAATATATTTCTTTTCTATCTGTGATGATCGTCCAAAGTGTCTTCTAGAAAAAGGTCCGGATCCTTGATCTATCGTAGTTTAGATGTGGCATCGGGTGTCATGAAACACACAGGAGTGATGTAAGATGTCAGAAATCTCAGAGATGAATGGAATGTAGCTTATCATCCACACACATTGAGCCTTGTGGCAATGTTTGTTTTTGTTACAAATTCCAGAAAACAGCGTAATCACTCAGAGCTTATGAATACGACCGAAATTTTCCGAAAGTTCATTATGAGGATCTAGAGTGTCTTTTAATTTTCTGTACATCTGAGTTTAGATGAAGCAGCTGTAAAATCTTACATCACTCCTGTGTATTTCACGACATCTGATTCCACATCAAATACGATAAATCAAGGATTTAAACCATTTTTTATAAGACACTTTGAACGATCATCACAGATAGAAAAGAAATATATTACTACTTCATATTGTGATCATGTGAATCGATTGTCTAAAATCTGTTTCATAACCCTAACCGGAAAAGATTTTCAAAACTATAATGTGCTTCAATATCAAACTATCATCTGTGACCTCTTAGTTCAGTTTTTTTATGAATGAATGTAAACAGAAGTTATTGATATTTAATGAGTAGGACAGAAATTATTTCGATCAAAGTTAAAAATTAAAAACTGTCATTGATCGTTTTTAGTCATCTTTTTTTACATCTACTCTTAGGAATATTCAAACTGAGTTTATGAACTGAAATAACGAATTATCGAATGCATATTGATTACGGTTAAAACGTCTTATTCATTTACTTGTTTATACTCGTCAGATACATCAAATGACACAAACTCAACAGTATTATTGTTATTATTACTTAATGTAAAATATTTATTAGGATAGTCAACGAATTTTTCCTCTTATTTATCGCTCAAATTTTTAATCTTTTATTTGTGTATTTTCTGGTCATTTTTTTTCTTCGATGGGAAATACCACCAGTGTGACATCTATAACGCCTAATCGTTATGCAACAACAACATTATCAAAATCGACAAAAAGTTATCATCAAAACTTAAAACAATTCACCACTACCGCCATCACGAATGACAAAATTATAACAACACCGGTAATAGATCGTTCATGGAAAAGACAATTACAAATATTTAATGAAACGTTTACATTAAAAAAATTTTCATTAAAAACAAAAACAATAAATCGTACAAAGGCGGAAAATAGTCAAAGTTTTCATGAATTATTACGAACAAAAAAATCGACAAATGTTGCTAATAAACATCAACGTTTCACTATGTGTGATAATAAAGAAAATCAAAATTATGCATTAGATATCATAAATCCAATTATTGAATTTGAAAAAAAGACATCAAATTTTTATACTCATCAAACAAATCATAAACAACATCATTCTTCTGTTAAAAAATCATTCAGTCTATTTTCACTTAAATCACTTTCGACTGCAGGTAGTCTTACTAAACCTGTTATAAAAATAAAAAATGACAAGCAGCACCAACAACACCATCAACATTTATTTAAGGACAGAATAAATCAAGATGAAAATAATAATAATATTAATAAGAGAAAAGTTGATATCTATCGACGAACAAACAAAACTGAAGAAGGTAATACTATTGATAGTCAGCAGTAATTGTAATCGATGAGGGAGGGGAGAGGCACTTTTCAATCGTTTCTACACCAAGTCAACTGCCTCCTATTGTATGATAATAATGATGAAGGAGAATGAGATATTGGAAATTTCTAGAGGAGAAAAGATAGTTCCTTATTTAACACAATAGTGCTCGTAATAGTGAAAAACTACTCATTGCACTCAAAACTGTGTGATCAACGAAGGAGAATAGAGTTTAACAACTTATTTTACTGATTAGAGTTTTCTAGAATCTAAAGGATATTGAATAAAGTTTTGATATAGAAATACTTGTATGATTCTATATTTAGATGATAGAAATTTTTATAATCGTCATTCAACTTATATTTTATCAACAGCATCAACAAAATCTTCTCATTTATCAAAATCACAATCACAATATAATAATGTTGAATGTAATGATGGTAGTATACATAAAACATCAAAAACAATTTATTCATTTTCATTAGCTCATACCAGAAATGAAAATAAAAATCAATTAAAATCTACTCGAGAATTAATTCGTGCAAAGAACACGTCCTCATCGTCATCTTTACTATCAACTGCATCTTCAAAACGTTCTCTTTCATCTTCTTCATGCATAAAACATCACGATCGTATAATACCAAAAAAGACAATAATTCAAGCATCCACAACAGAATTATTACATTGTTTTGGTAATTATTTATGTCAACGATGTGCTCATGTAGATTATTTAGATCCATCTGATTGTATTCTTTGGTTAAAATCAGCTGATCGTTCTTTAATTATTCAAGGATGGCAAGAAGATGTATTTATTAATCCGGCCAATGTTGTATTTGTCTATTTAATTGTACGAGAAACTCTTCAATCGATTATACATTATTCACAAATATCCACAATTTATGAATTACAGTCAATTGTGCTAACATGTTTATATTTAGCTTTTTCATATATGGGCAATGAAATAACATATCCATTAAAACCATTTATTATTGAAGATAATCGAGATTTATTTTGGAAACGTGTTGTTCTAATTATGGAACGAATGAGTTCGAAAATGTTATTAATTAACAAGGAACCTAAATATTTTACAGAAATATTCTCAGAATTAAAATCATTTTCATTACGTTGAGTTATTTTGTATATCAATTTGTTTCATATTTTATTGTTTCATGCTTTTTTAGTATAATTTATGTGCAATATTATTTTATTTGGTCAAAAATAACACTTAGATAGTAAAAAGAATTTGATTAAATATACTATGCTTAAATGCCGTTTGTTTTCATAAATGATCCTAAAATACAACAATTAAAAAAAAGCTAAATAAAATTATAGGTCAATAAGGACGAAACAGAATTCTTTCTCTGACGATAACTTTTGTTTTACGCAATATTTTTTTTGGCTTTATAAATTTTACTGACAAATTATTATTTTTTTTCCCGTAACCTACATAAAGATTTGTCTACTGTCTTTTGTACGCTTATTTTGTACTAAGAGTGGTATGTTCAATGATAAAGAACTAATGAAGTCAATAAAGAACATTTCCACAAACCAGACCCGATTATGGATGAACAGTATCGAGAAATTAGCCTAGTTGATCTAAAAGTTCATGTTTTTTTAAATAAACTATTAAACATATTCTTAGTGCAACAAGAGATGCTGTCGATTTATAAAAACTTCACAATATGACATTTAAATTTTGATCTGAAGTGGATGCCTAGTATAATCTATCAGATAACACAAATTTTTCTTGCGTCATAGTCGAATAGTAAAGTATTAATAAAATATCTGAAGATGTTTTGGAGAGAGAGAGAGTAAAATAGGAGTGGCTTCATCTAAGTGAAGAATTTGTACCCGTAGGCAATTTTGGTATGAAAATCATTTATGCAAAGATCACATTATCCTATTGTTATTATTGTCAATAATAGGACGGCTGGAAAAGTTGAAAACGATTTACATACATATCTTGTGTTATCTTTTTTTGTTGATTCACGAAATTAGAGAAAAAAAAAACAAGTGACAATGAAACAAATATACGGTAAAAAACAGAAAAAGATGGACAGAAGAAAAACATTTGTACGACATATTACAGTAAATAAGAATTTTTTATTTTTATTAAGCTTAAAAAATGAAAATAAACAAAAACACGACACGCACACGCAAAGAAGTACACACACACATACATGATTTTGGCTTTGCTCTTTACGATACCAGAGGCTCGTTAAAAGAGTGGATGTTACCATGATGTAAAAATGGTAAAGGAAAACGAAACAGACGACATAAAGAAACGAGAAAAGAAGACAAAATGTCGCGCAGCGCATCAGGTTGTATCAGCCAAAGCAGAAATAACATCGAGTGTGGGATATGTTTGTGTTCACGACTATCACATGATTATACTGCAAGAAAAAAAAAATAGATTCTTTCTAAACACAGACTAGAAAAAGGGAGAAACGAAGTTGTTCAAAAAACAGAGCTGAATTTGTGGCTCTGCTGTAATACCAAAGAGTCATTGAATATACAAAGTCAATAAAAGAAAAATGAACATGATTTACAATAAACGAGCTGCTGGGTACGATCAAGAGTTAACATCAATCGAGCAAGCGAGATCATGAAGCAAAACGTGTGTGAACTTATAAGAGGCATTTGAATGTGCTTTTAAACAAAAACCAGAATAGAAAATCCTGCTTTTACTGGTCCTGTATGTAAACAAAAAACATGATCATTCGAAAAATGAAAAAGAGCACACTTAAAATAACACAAACTGAAGAATAATAAATCGTCTCTCTATTTCTAATTTTTTTATAAAATAATATATTTATAATTTTTTTTGTTATGGATTTATGATACCATTTTCTGAGATCATAATCATTTGTGATTTTATATGGTCGGTCCTAGTTATATGATTTATTAAATCTTGACTGTTCGTTGTTGTTGTTGTTGTCGTAACAGAATCAATTTTTATCATTGTCGATGCTTCGTTGCCATTACTCGTTTCCATTTGCTCGTTAATTGTCGTCATTTGATTCGAATCATCAACATTGGTACCTGCATTCACCGATAAATCATCGTTATCATAAAGATTATTTACTATTTTCTGTTCTTGATTGTTTAGGATGAATTTGTTGGCTGCAGCTAGTTTTATATTAGTCCTTAAATTAGGTGCATGACGTTTTAATTTAGAATTAGTCAATAACGAATCAACTTGTTTATTGTTGTTGTTGTTGTTGTTATTAGTAATACTGTTATGAACTATTGGTGGTTTTGTTATACCATTAGTTGTTGTGGTTGTTTGTGAATCTAGATCATTAATTGTCGGCGTAGACATCAGTGTCGTAGACAGTGTAGTAGCATTAGTCGTACTAGTAGTCAAATATTCATTTGGCGTCTGTTTTCCCTGAGATAATGACGATGAATGTTGTATATTACATTTTTCACATAAAGTCTTTAGACGAGTATTTTCATCATTCAAATAAATTACTTGTTTATGTGCTTCAGCTAATAGACGTCTCATATGCAATAATGTGGAAGACATGGCATCCATATTTTGATCCATATCTTGCATTATCTCTTCATAATCTAAAATATTATCAACAAATAAACAAGAGAAAATTTTAAATTAATAAGTATAAACAAACCTTTCTGTGATTCTTTCATTTCACTTAATAAACGATTTTGTAATGATATTTCACCTTCTAATTTTGCTATATTATCCGATGATACCATTTTTCCTAACTGTTCATTTTCTTCTAGTAATTTTTTACATCGAGCCATTAGCATCTTACCAGTTTTACTGAAAAATATAAATGTAAACGTGTAAAATTCAAGTGTAACAAATCGTCTTTTTTAGAATATTATCAATCATGTTAACATTCTGATGTAGAACTTTTATATTGAAAATCTAAACAGCTGATCTGAATCTCTAAGGATCCATCACACTTGATTTTCCAGTCTTGTATTACAGGTAACAAAGACTCTTTTCTTGTGATTATTTCTTTCATTAGATTTTATAACAAAATTATGCTCGAGTATTGAGACTAAAGAATCTGGAACGCTAAAATCTCACCAAACTTAACATTCTTAACAGCGAAGGACGAATTTCGCTTTAAACTTCAATCAAATAATGGAATCTGAACAATTTTTCATGAAACACAAACATGTCTATTTCTTGTACCTATCTGGTGTAAATTGCCATGCTTGTAATTCATTTTGGGCTTCTTCTCGTGCTTTACGACATGCATCAAGTTCATCACGCATTCGTTGAAATATTAAATTAATCGCTGGATCAAGATATGTTTGACGAAGTTTCGTAAAACTTGGCACTTGAACATCTCGTAGTTGATCCTTTAAAAAGAAAACAGAAACGAATTTAGATTAAGGTCCAGTTTATTCTAAAACAATGTTAGAGACTGACGGTTCTTGAGAGCGATTTAGTAAAAAGAACATCTTAAATGTGTAATTTGAAATCGTATCTTTTTTTTAAACAAAAAATTTGAGTATACACTTGACTTCTTAAGAGATCTGGCTATTTTACTTACCAATGATTGATGTTGTGTTGTTTTTGTTAAAAATCGATAATTTAACATAGCTTTCAGCTTTTTACATTCATTTGATTTTTCATCTAATTTTGTTTGTGATTCACGTTGTTTATCATCGAAATTTTCGATTTTAATTAAACGTTGTTCTAAATAATCAATATATAACTCTTGCTCTTTCCAACGTTCAATCAAACGAGCTCGAGGTGAATGATCAATATCATCTTCATCAAGTCTTATACGTTTAGGAAGATTGTCCATCACAAAGCATAGGCGGTATTATAGATGATAATTACAAGTGAACAAAAAAGTACACTTTAAGTGCAATAAAACAAAGAAAATGAAAATAAATAAAAATAATTTACAGAAAACAAAAAGACACGTAAATGCAAAAAATTTATTTTGAGATACGAATTTTATTTTATTTTATTCCCATACGAATAGGAGAGGAATCAACTGTATACGAAACGCATGACATATCTAAAGCACAAAAAAACATTCATAGTTCAGTTATAACTCTCACAATATCTGGTTCAGTTTCCATTATGGTAAGTGAAAGGAGAAATGATTGTCCTCAAAACCCCAATCAATTCATTCAACTTCTATCCATACGAAGATAAGTTCATGTACTTTTATTGATCTATAAATTATTCAAAATCTTATTCACAGAACTTATTTCTTTTTCTTACATAATGTCTAATAGAATATGAACATGATTTTCCTTGTCTACGATTCGGATCTTGTCTGTGAAGTTTGTTCAACGAGCGAGTTAGAGAAAAAAGAGAATAAAAATCACCCCGATAAAGGCGAAAGGTTGTGCGTCCACTAATCGCATATCTTATACTGTTGTAGATCGGCATACTACAAAAATTGTGATTTTAAGACTAAGACTAATTTATTCACGAAAAATAAGAGTCATCAAAGGTCACCGATCTATAATAACAATGACTCAAACCAAACAATAACAAAAAGAAACTATAACTAGAGAAACTATGTTTAAGTATGAAGAGAGATAGAAAAGAATAAAAACAGATAAAGAAAATAACAAGAGAGTAATAGCACTGGGCTTGTTTTATAACTGTAGACATAGCTAAGTTCCAGAGCTCCGTATCGATCTATGTGGACTCGCTGAAGGTGACACCTTTATCTGTAGAATCGACACAAGTCTATACGAAGCTCTGCTAAGTTCTACTATAAAGATTCTGATAGAGCTATTTCAAATGACAATAACGAAGAAGGATGGATGACTGATTCTGGAAGTTTATTTCAGTCAGTAACTGTTGAATAAAAGAAGGAAGAAGAAATGGTTTGT